ATATGGGACCATGTATAGCTGCTGAAGTGCCAGTATTACGGGTATGGCCCATCTCCAGGCGGTAGTGCTGGGAAGCACTATCGCCGCTTCGGCTGATGATGCTGCTACGAAAACCAATCTAGACTTTCCTATTTCTATGGCGACCCTACCATCCATTGATGTCGCATTACGAGGCAAACTTTGCGATTGCTTCGATGTAGGTTGAGGTCCTTGGTATGGTAAAGAACGCGGAATGTCTCCTCATAGGGTAAGGATGAGAGGTAAACCTACAAGGAGAGCGCGATGTTTGCCCACGCGGTAAGGGTGCAATGTTCCTTTGAGGGTTTCTTGCGATTGCACTTCCGCTCCTTACTCCAATTCACCAAATCTCCACATTTCCATTTTCTGTGTTCCAGAACCCTCACTCGATTTTTGACAGAACTTTTGGCGGGGTGACCCTTTACGTAGATATGTGGACCCTTCCCTGGAAGCTTCATGCGATTCACTGGTCACTGATAGGAGTGATAGCAAAGTGACTGTCCATAATTTTCACCCCATACGTTGTTCTCGTTCCTAAAGGTTGAAGCACTGTCACCTTCCGATTGAAGAGCTCCGATAAGACCCTGTCGCTGTCTCTCCTGCCATCCATATTCATTTTATCATCAAAAAGCAATTATTACCTTTTCAGCTTGTCAATGGACGCATCGTAAGCGATAAAACACTGACGCTCCTGAAAAAGCCATTCATCAACGCAACCGATCTTGCACTAAAAGGCGACACCGTCAAAGGACATGGATTCTTCTTCTACCCACCGCTAAGCAAATTTGAGGTTCGTCGTGGATTTGAATGCTTCAAAAAATACACGTCTAAAAAGAGTTCACGCCATTGAGAAGGTCTTCGATGTAAGCCACGCACTAGACTTCAGTCGAAAGTAACCGATGCGATTGAGTCTGCTCGAAAATGCCATGTTTTCCGCTACCCTGTAATCCGTTCACTGACCACGCGCTGAATTACAATTCAAGGTGAAACCCAGAATGAGTTGACTATGAGTCCTTTAGGTGGGTAGGATAGAGCAGTTCACGTAGTCGCAGACGTCCATTTCCCCGGCTCTGAAGCAAAGACGATAGTAGGGCATTGTAAAGACCGCTTTAACCGCTTTATTTTCCCTCATGCTGGTGTCTGTGCTCCCCCAGGCAGTGTGCTTTTCGTCTATCTCTCTCATCCGAGCTCAATCCCCCACTGCTTTAGCACATATTGACCCTACCGAACACTGTGCCTAGTGGAGCAAGTGGGCGGCGGGAATGTTGGTATTGGCAGTGAAATAAATGGTGAGCAATAATGAAACATAGTAGAGGGTTCCCTGGTGGGAATAGCTTGGAAATAATAATAATAAAAAACCTAAAACCCAAAAATTTGCTGTTCCAGCAGTGCAGGTTCAAGTCCCCGTCCTCCCTCTCGACGGCCAGTTTTCGAATTTTAGAGTTTTAGGATGAGGGAGGGGAGGTGTGGGGCTGGTGTCTTGTATTACCGTGCGAGTACAGAATCAACGACACTGTTAGAATCGGACTACCAGGGTGGAGGAGCAGGGGGAGGAAGGCTGTATCAGCCAAAGCTTCCTTGGTACGTGGTTCACCCTAGGTACTAGTAGCGAACGGTCCCAAAATCGCCATGTAAGACCCCAGCTTGATCAGCGCACAGCTGAGCTTGTGTAGAAAAATACAGACTAAAGATTATTTTATTGGACCATAAGTCAAATAACTATGAATTCCAGACGGACCTCATGATGGGTCATCCCGGCCACGGATGTCAGCAAGTGATGTTCGACATGAAGAACAGAATTGCCTTTGCCTACGTGACAAACGGACTGAAACTGGGCGTACATGAGCTCTGCCGTAATTACGCCAGGCTACAGAAGACACTCTACGAAGTTCTGGACACTCTGGCAGTGTGAAAGTCTTTGCGATAACAGCCATTTCTCAAGAATCCTGATTGAGTTCCGTAGTGCACTTTATGAACACTCTTGTTCTTTTCGATTTCTTTGTTGAGCCTTGCATTGCATATTAAGGAAATCGTCCACGGAAAAATCGTGATGCTATCTCATCCCCAATTTACTGGCCCGAGCCTCATCATTCACGATGTGAACGAAAACAACGAAAAATGCGTTTGTTTTCGTGAACATTTGAAAAACCCGAAGGACTGTTACGCGTTCAAATTCCGCCGTACATCTGTCACAAATGTTGGCGACGGAACGATTCCACTTGGTTCTCGGAGTGCCTTCACTAGGAACTCTTTTTGGCCTTTTTCACCTATGGCAATAGCATTTCTTAATGCGTCCTATTCTTTCGATCGTTTTGTCTCCATTCTCCAAATTCGGGCGTTCAAGCCCGATTCTTTCAATGTGTCTCCTGTGGTCCTGAGCCGCACTTGCTTCACGCGTTCCCTTGTCTCCGCCCAACCTACCCGCCACCGTCCCCAGAGTGTGGTTTTCGTAGGTTTGTTTCTCTTCGAAACTGAATCTTCTTGCGTGAAACTTTGTAAGTTTGTCTCTAGTGATCACAACTGAAGTATTCACATTTGGGAGGAATGCAAGAACTTTCCGTGAACGATTCCTTTAAGATCCACGCGGTGATTTTGTATTATTTTTTAGACCGCAGTACATAGTGAATTTCAAATAGATAGGTACTTTAGTCTCATAGTCATAGTCACCGCGCCCTTAAGCGCGCGGTCGCAACGCCGCCGTTCACCCATCCTACCAGTGGATATACAGAACGATATCGGCGGTTGAGCTTTATATTTCAACCATATACCTCTTCACTTTTCTTTCACGCTTTTTATGTTGGCATTGCCTAAACGCCTCGCGACACGCCAGACCTATCACAATGTCCGGTTGTATAGTTGTGTATCAATCTGGAGATTGAATAATATGGCTCTTTCCAAAATGGTGCTAAATATAACCTAAACTGATTCGATATTGATTTTCACTGTTGATTAATATGAATAAAACCTTCAATATGAATATTCGTGCTGTATTGGACGTAATGGAGTGTTCAGAGTTGGCGATCGTACGTGCGATTAGGCGATTAGGCGAGCATGCGAGCAGACGATCAGGCGAGTAGGCATGTGGGCGATAAGAGAGGCATACGTTCGATTGCTTGCTCGCCGACATGGGGAGTGATGCCGCCTAATCGCCCACTCCGCCTACTGTGCCTTATGGGTGGAGCAACCAATCAACATTGGTACTCGGGGTCCCTTCAAAGGCACCGCCTGGCGAAGCAAGAGACGCAGATGCGGCAAAGAGACGAGTTGCAGCGCGTGCTGTGCGATATGAGACGTAGTATGGTACACTCTCTTTAACCTGACGCCTAACCGCTACAGTATGCGCTGCGACTCGTCCCTTTGCCGCGTCTGCGTCTCTTGCTTCGCCGCGCGGTGGGCCTGTAGGGGGAACCTAGGTAGTCTTCCCCGCTTAATCACCCACTCGTCTAATCGCCTAATCGCACGTACGATCACCAACCCTGAAAGCTCCATAAGCCTACGAGAGGATAAGAAGTGAAAACAAAGTGGATTTGCCCGGAAAGCGAGAGGTGCGGGTTCTAGTCCCGCCTGGGGCGAAAGTTTTGTTCACAACCCAGCATTCTTGTGAAACATTCGCAAGGCGAACTGCGGCCAAAAACAGCAGTTAACAAACAAAATAAGTAAGGATAAGAAGTGAAAAACAAAGTGGATGGAATTAAATATGATATGATGTTATACGTACCACTTACATTTCAAAACACTAGACCGGTTGGAATCATTTAGCTAGCCATAGTGTTATAGTTGGGCAAGTCTTGTGGTGAGTCTCTTGCCTTATTCATTCAGAGCCGTTTCAGAGCTCACGTCAAAACAAGGAAACGGGGAATCCGTGAAAATAATGAATCGCTTGCCGTTTATCAAGCTTTTTACTGAGATTATCTGCAACACCTGTCGTCTCTCTGTTCGACAAATTCCTCGAGTGGACGCCAGCCTCATCCCTATCCGTCCCTGTCGTGTGCTAAGGCTACAGGAGACCTTCCCGTCCGAGGGACACACAGCTCATCATTCCTTTCTATTTATGGACCTCTTTTTTGAGGATGTACTGCAAATTTGACTAATATTCAGTATCTAGCGCTTTTTGTGCATGAATATACAATATGCATCTCGCTCACAAGGTGACTCACGGGAATCAACCGATGAAAATACAGACCAAAGTTTTCGAGCGGCCATAAATATAATATCGATAGCTGTTCTTCGATAATTGTGCTGGTAAAGCTTTGTGATGAGCTTCGTGGAGGGGGGGGTGGCAACTGCTACTTGGCCCACACCCTCCTTAGTCCCTCTCAAGGCTTACTAAAGAGCGACCGAGAGGTGCTTAGAGCTCTCTACACGAAGATGCTTCCACCTACTCCCAGTACACCAGCGCCATCCTGTTTGCTACAACTATCCCCTAGGCAGCGTTCAGAGTTGGCGAGCGTGCATGCGATTAGGCGAGTTGATAAGCGATTAGTCTATAATGAAAATATACGTATAGATTAGGCGAGTAGGCGAGTAGGCGATTAGGCGATCGCTCAATGGGCGGAGCAACAAATCAATACGTATCCTTCTCTTATCGCCTACTCGCCTACTCGCCTAATCGACTACTCGCACAATCGCCTAATCGCACGTGCGATCGCGAACTACAAACGCTCCATTAGGCAGCGTTCAGAGTGGGCGAGCGTGCTTGCGATTAGGCGAGTAGGTGAAAAGGCGATGATTCAAAAAGAAGATAAACGTACGATTAATCGGGCGAGTAGGCGTCAGGTAAGTAGACGAGTGAGGGAGAAGAAAAATACTTATCGATATGTTGGCTCCGCCCACTAAGCGATCGCTGATCGACTCGTAACCGATTGCTTTTAGACTAATCGCCTAATCGCGTGTACGATCGCCAACTCTGAACACTGCCTTAGGAAGTGTATATACTCTGAAAAACTAGTGAACAGGAAAAGCCATGAAAAGATTTAGACGCAAATTGGTTGATTTACTGTGCTTTCTGGGCATTCTGTTAAAAGTGGTGACTGAAATGAGCATGTAAGCAGGGTGAAGCGGTCGAGGAAATCCTCGACCATGGCTCTGTACTGTGCGAGAGTGCCGAGAGTAAACGTACCGA